GTTTTAGTGTCATACACAATCCCGATGATTGTGCAATAGTGTTTTATCGCTTTGGTTCGTTGTTTAGCACTGTTAAGGCTAAGGAAAATCAAACACATGAACTTTCCAAATGATGATTTCTCATTAAATAGCGAATTGTATAGTGATTACATAACGTAAACCCTAACGTACAAGGGTTATTGGAGTTGACCGGTTTGACTTGTTGACTTTGTTTGACTTTGACTTGACCGAAATTTGACGGTTGTCACACAAACTCCTCCCCGAAGCTTCTCAGATTTTCCAAGACTCTCACCGATTCGAGTATGGATGATGTGCTTTCAGTAGTACAGGCACAATACTACCTTCCAAACATATCCATACTTTCCTCAGCAATCCTCCCGAATCCTCCAATTCACTTCCTCAAACTAATACATCCAATTCTCACTAAACCTCACTACTAACCCACTGAAACATATCCTAGGCTTTCCTAGGTTCCCGTACCCACCCAGTCCTCAGCTGCTGAAAGATTCCCAGTAATGTCAACTAGCTACCTCCTAAATATAGCCACATGCAACAGAGATCAGATAATCATTCGAGTGAAAGACCCATCCCTAGAACAGTTGGACTCAAACAAGAACTGTGCAATAGGGTCAAGTCCATCACTCTGAGATTATATGACACGTGTCCCATGTGACTTAGCATATTCACCTAGCAGCCAACTCACATCACTAAGAGTCCCACAAAGCACAAAGCAAACATCATTCAGACAATGGAAAATCTAACCATCATACTCCAATGAAACCATTCTATCCTCTAATCAAGAATCTATACATGCAATTCAAAGGCTCATACAATCAGGCATAACCTAAACAGGCTATCCTATCACTTACTGGTCAGTACTAGCATGCAAGTCTACAAGCACATACAATAGGCATATAAGGCATCCTCCCTAGATCCTTAGCCCTAATCTAGAATGCAGTTCTCATAATCATATCATATCAGAACATAACATGTATGGGTATATTGGGGAAAACTTACTTGAGCTCGGCTGATTGCACGCATCACACACCTTGTCTTTTCAAATTTCTTTCTCCTTTCAAATTCTTTTTCAGATTTTTTTTATAAAAATTATTTTCCTTTTGAAATTTTCCATTCCAAGTCCTTAGTTTGAGTTCAGACACACCCGAGAGTGTGCTCGAATCCCTCAAACCAAGGCTCTGATACCAACTTGTAACATCCCAAAATTTAAGACCAAAAATTTCATTTTTAGTTTAATAATTCATAAAACCAACAGTATAAATACATCCATAAAACATCCCATGTCAAAACCAAAGTGTCAATAATCAAAACTTGTTATCATAAAACAATATCAGAGTGCAATCCCAAAGATCTCATGTGCGGAAAACATAGTGCGATGCGCTGCGATCGAGCCGACTCCTTTCCTTTGAAAACGTAGTACCTGAAACCAAAACTGAAAACCGTAAGCACGAAGCTTAGTGAGTTCCCCCATCATACCACATACCATACAAACCACATACTGTCAGGCATACCAGGGTGCCCGACCTACCCCATGTCAGGCATATCTGGGTGTCCGACCTACCCTGCTGAGCATACCGGGGTGCTCTCAACCTACCCCTGTTAGACATACCGGGGTGCCCAACCTACCTCTGTCAGGCATATCTGGGTGCCCAACCTAACCCTTCGGTCCTGTCGATCGGTGATCGGGTACTATTTCACCCCTACTACTAGCACATAATATCATATCACATATATCATAATCTGTCTAGCATATTTGGGTACTAAACTACCCTTTCGGCCCTATCGACCGGTAACCGGGGACTATTCCCCCTACTACCACTATCACATAACATCATATCATGCTAGCACATTAAACATATCAGGTAGTAGCAAACCTAGATAATTATCACAAAGAGAATAATCTATCAACCAACTCCGAATAGTGGGCCGACATGGTGGCCGTAGACCCACTTCTACTGGAAGGTAACTCACCTCGCACTGCTGAAGTCCCGTAGACAAAACTCTAGCTGCTGGATGATAGGTTCTCGAACTGTCAATCATCAAAATAACACCCAATCAGCAATTGGGTTCCAACATATACCCATAAGTCCATGCTTTGGGTAAAAGACTGCTTTACCCCTATCTTAGCTTGATTTAAGCCAAGGCCCAATCCAAAGGCTTAAAAGTCAACTATAAGTCAAATCCCAACATATGGCCCAATTTTCCAAATTGGGTCCAAACCTTTATATGGTCTTATTCTAAGGCCCAACCAATTAGTCCAGTCGAAACATTTGGCATTTCTAATGGCCCAATATCTCATAATGGGAAAGAGTGGCTGATCATAGAGTGAGGTGGTGGTGGTTTGCTTTTGCCATAAATTAAGGAAAAGCAAATATTCCCTCAATAATTAGTTCAACCACTAATTCTTTTAATATATTTTTATAAAAACCCTGGAGATTTATATATTTTGGGGCCTTAGTTTATAAAATAAAGTTTTGGGTGAAAATCCCACGTTAAAATAATGAAAACGGAGTTAAAACGAAGTCGTAGTCGAAAAACCGGTAAAAAGGGGCCGTCTGCGAGACCCCTCGCATGGAGGCCGGATTCGGACCCTCGCATGCGAGGCTGCTGTCTGATGGCTTCGGATTCGGTCTCCTGAGAGGCTTCAGCTTCGGTCCTGATGAGAGGCTTCGGATCCGAGGCCTCGGATGAGAGGCTTCGGTCCTGAAGCTTCAGTTCCAGGTCCTTAAGGCTATTTTACCCGTTTTTACCCCGTTTCAAGCGATTTTTGACCCGGTTAAGGGTCGATATGACCCAAATGATTACAAAACGTTAAAGTAACTTTTGAGAGAGATTTGGGAGAGATTTGGGAGAGATTTCAAATATAAAGAGATAGAGTGAAAACGATTTAGAGAGGTTTCGTTTGTGATTAATTTGAGTGTCCGGCTTCACAACGCAAGGTTCGTAAACCCCGTTAAACCGTGTTTTAGTGTCATACACAATCCCGATGATTGTGCAATAGTGTTTTATCGCTTTGGTTCGTTGTTTAGCACTGTTAAGGCTAAGGAAAATCAAACACATGAACTTTCCAAATGATGATTTCTCATTAAAATAGCGAATTGTATAGTGATTACATAACGTAAACCCTAACGTACAAGGGTTATTGGAGTTGACCGGTTTGACTTGTTGACTTTGTTTGACTTTGACTTGACCGAAATTTGACGGTTGTCACACAAACTCCTCCCCGAAGCTTCTCAGATTTTCCAAGACTCTCACCGATTCGAGTATGGATGATGTGCTTTCAGTAGTACAGGCACAATACTACCTTCCAAACATATCCATACTTTCCTCAGCAATCCTCCCGAATCCTCCAATTCACTTCCTCAAACTAATACATCCAATTCTCACTAAACCTCACTACTAACCCACTGAAACATATCCTAGGCTTTCCTAGGTTCCCGTACCCACCCAGTCCTCAGCTGCTGAAAGATTCCCAGTAATGTCAACTAGCTACCTCCTAAATATAGCCACATGCAACAGAGATCAGATAATCATTCGAGTGAAAGACCCATCCCTAGAACAGTTGGACTCAAACAAGAACTGTGCAATAGGGTCAAGTCCATCACTCTGAGATTATATGACCCGTGTCCCATGTGACTTAGCATATTCACCTAGCAGCCAACTCACATCACTAAGAGTCCCACAAAGCACAAAGCAAACATCATTCAGACAATGGAAAATCTAACCATCATACTCCAATGAAACCATTCTATCCTCCAATCAAGAATCTATACATGCAATTCAAAGGCTCATACAATCAGGCATAACCTAAACAGGCTATCCTATCACTTACTGGTCAGTACTAGCATGCAAGTCTACAAAGCACATACAATAGGCAAATAAGGCATCCTCCCTAGATCCTTAGCCCTAATCTAGAATGCAGTTCTCATAATCATATCATATCAGAACATAACATGTATAGGTATATTGGGGAAAACTTACTTGAGCTCGGCTGATTGCACGCATCACACACCTTGTCTTTTCAAATTTCTTTCTCCTTTCAAATTCTTTTTCAGATTTTTTTTATAAAAATTATTTTCCTTTTGAAATTTTCCATTCCAAGTCCTTAGTTTGAGTTCAGACACACCCGAGAGTGTGCTCGAATCCCTCAAACCAAGGCTCTGATACCAACTTGTAACATCCCAAAATTTAAGACCAAAAATTTCATTTTTAGTTTAATAATTCATAAAACCAACAGTATAAATACATCCATAAAACATCCCATGTCAAAACCAAAGTGTCAATAATCAAAACTTGTTATCATAAAACAATATCAGAGTGCAATCCCAAAGATCTCATGTGCGGAAAACATAGTGCGATGCGCTGCGATCGAGCCGACTCCTTTCCTTTGAAAACGTAGTACCTGAAACCAAAACTGAAAACCGTAAGCACGAAGCTTAGTGAGTTCCCCCATCATACCACATACCATACAAACCACATACTGTCAGGCATACCAGGGTGCCCGACCTACCCCATGTCAGGCATATCTGGGTGTCCGACCTACCCTGCTGAGCATACCGGGGTGCTCAACCTACCCCTGTTAGACATACCGGGGTGCCCAACCTACCTCTGTCAGGCATATCTGGGTGCCCAACCTAACCCTTCGGTCCTGTCGATCGGTGATCGGGTACTATTTCACCCCTACTACTAGCACATAATATCATATCACATATATCATAATCTGTCTAGCATATTTGGGTACTAAACTACCCTTTCGGCCCTATCGACCGGTAACCGGGGACTATTCCCCCTACTACCACTATCACATAACATCATATCATGCTAGCACATTAAACATATCAGGTAGTAGCAAACCTAGATAATTATCACAAAGAGAATAATCTATCAACCAACTCCGAATAGTGGGCCGACATGGTGGCCGTAGACCCACTTCTACTGGAAGGTAACTCACCTCGCACTGCTGAAGTCCCGTAGACAAAACTCTAGCTGCTGGATGATAGGTTCTCGAACTGTCAATCATCAAAATAACACCCAATCAGCAATTGGGTTCCAACATATACCCATAAGTCCATGCTTTGGGTAAAAGACTGCTTTACCCCTATCTTAGCTTGATTTAAGCCAAGGCCCAATCCAAAGGCTTAAAAGTCAACTATAAGTCAAATCCCAACATATGGCCCAATTTTCCAAATTGGGTCCAAACCTTTATATGGTCTTATTCTAAGGCCCAACCAATTAGTCCAGTCGAAACATTTGGCATTTCTAATGGCCCAATATCTCATAATCATAAAGGGCCAATTAAAAAAATTTCCAAATTCGGCCCAAACCCTTACACGAGCCTTACCCTAAAGCCCATCCAATTATTCTAGTCCATATGATTGTTCTTAAATGGCCCATTATTGGCCCGATCACCAAAGCCCAATGGAAAGGCCCAACTTAAGGCCCAAGTGAAATTAGGGTTTTCATATAAAATGACAATTAGGGTTAAGTGTTTCTCACTTAACCCATTAAGGACTTAATCCGTTAAGTCCAATATTGCCTTAGATTAATTGCAAATGATTATTAATTAATTATTTTAAGTTTAGCAAATAATTCGAGTGCGGGTCCCGATCAATCCCCAAAATTAGGGTTTCATGACATTAGGGTTTTCCAAATCCTAATTAGGGTTTCCAACCCAAATACTAGCCCATTAGTCACATGGTTAAGCTTTTAGATCACTTTGGGCTTCATTGGGCCCATTAGGGTTTCATTAGGCCCACTAGGGTTTCATTAGTTGGGCACCACCCACTACCATCTCGCGTAGTGGTGGTCAATGGCGGCTCACAACAACGGCCACCACCTCACAGTGGGTGTTATGGTTCTAGTCCAATCGTGTCCAAGGACTCCAAAAGCAATCCAAACACAACTAAGCACACCGTCACCCAACACGGCGGCCGGTGGCGGCAAGAGGCGGCAGCCACCACCTCACGGTGGTGGTTTTGAGTTTTCTTATTATTATTCTAACCTCTAATTACATTTTACAATGCTTTATCCCAAAATAAACACACGCACTAATAGATAAACACACACATAACCACCCTTGTGGTGGCGGCGGTGGTAGATGGTGGCAGCCGCCACCTCACAGTGGTGGTGGTGACTTCTTTCCAGATTCTGGCCAAGGTTTTCTCACCCACACACTACATCACACACACTACATCACACACATGTGCAGAAACACCCACTGAGCAGCTCTTCATCGATCTTGAAGGGGGTTGACGGCGGTAGCCTGAGCGGAAATGACAACATGAATGGCGACGACAAGTGGCTAGCGCCGGCAACTGCTACTCTTCAATAGGTACGGGCTGTGGCGGCGGCTGACCTGTGGTGGTGGCACTTCGACGAACTGAGGGAGAACAAAAGATGAAGTGAAGCAGCAGCGACGGAGGAGGATGGCAGCGACACTAGGAGGCTCCATGACGGCGAAGTAGCAGCGACCAGGTGGCGATCGCCTCACCAAGGCGGCGGGTGGAGGGTCACGGTGATTCTTCCCCATTTACGTGCGACGTCCGACAACTCAAGTGATGGTGGCGTCTGAGAGTAAGGAAGATATGGCAGTGCAAAGTCTCGGCTGCATCTACGGTTGGCGGTCGTGGCTCACGTCTTCAGCGGAATGGCACAACGGCGGCTCGGTGGTCGTAGAAGCTAGAGGGTGGCGGCCAGTGGGAGACATAAGGGTGGAGAGATGGCGGCTGATAAAGGCCGCTAGGGTTAGGGTTCCAGAATGGGTGAAGGGTTTATATACCCGGTCCCATTAACTACTTTCCATAATACCATCTTTATTCCCTCCCTTCCATTTTTCTTTCAAAGTGAGTCCATATTTTACCTTTTTAACCCTGCCTCCTGAAATCCTTTACAAATTAAGTCTAATACTTACCAAATATCCCCCCGCCTTCTAAAATCTTTACAAAATAAATCTCGAATTTATACTTTAACCCCCGAATAATCCAACTTATGACATTTGGCTTCCCAAAACCAACACCTTGCTTTATAATTATTGATTTTAGGGCTATTATACATTTATTTATTTATTTATTTATTTATTCATTTATTTATTTATTTATTTATTTATTTATTTATTTATTTAATAAACATGGTGTTACAAGATCCTTCATGATTGCGAGTCGGAACACAAGTGCAGGAGTAGTTACAGTCAGGTTTATTCCTTCAGGGATGTATGTGTGGGGATTACGTCGAAAACTCCTAGGAAAAGATCTCATTAAATCCAATTGTTCCTCTCTGGAACACTAGATATTATGTTAGAATATGCTTGAAACACTTAGGTTGAGTGTCCGTGGAAGGTTTGGTTAGCTCCTGTACTGACTGCTATCTTTGCTAGGGGAAGAGATGTCGTTGATCTATCAACCAACTTCAGGGTGTTGTGGATGCATCTTCACATGGGCTTTGCTTAGTAGTTGAGATAGTTAAGGGTCTTTAAGTTGTATCAGTTGTAGGTGCTTTGGGGTGCATCAATATTACATCAAGGGCGGAACGATGGAATTTTTTTTACTCCTGGTTAGAGCTCAGAGCAACTTTGTTTATTTTTCAGAAAGGGCCTTAGATGTATGTGGAATCTAATTTTGATATGTCGCGCCAGTAAGGTTGGTAAGGGAGTCAATCTGATCACAGTTCTGAAAACATTTAGGTTAATTTTGAAGTTTTCCTTTGAGCAGGAAGTTATTCGATAAGTGGTGCATTTGAAGGATCTGTTCGGTTAATTAAGATTGGGATATTGCTTTGAGTTGAGAAGGTTTATGGTTAGGTCGCTTATTAATATGGATTGTGAACACAAGTTGCTTGGGGTCTTATCGCTATAGAGTGTGTACATTTAGTGGAATTCTTGAAGTTTCTAAAGAATTTAGATTCTCTTATGGCCAGTAGTGTCAGTCGTGGATGATAAGAATTAAGTAGTGAAGTTTTGGGTTGTGTAGAAAATTCAAATGGTTATGAAGTCATTAGAGAGTAGCTGAAACAAAGTGAGGGAGAATAGTTTGGATTAATGGGAATATTTCCCAGTGAGAATCAGTGTGGAATTTCATATTCTAGGGCAGGTGAAAAGCTAGTTCTTGTTGTGGTATGATTCGGGGTTTATGCGTTGAATAATGTTCATTGTTTGTAATCAGTAATGAAAATGCTGAAGGTTCATGTTATCTTTTTTGAGGACGTGAAGCATCGGTAATGGCGCATTATGGGTTTGTAACAAGGTTCAGGTTGAGGGTTGTGTTAGAACCTCTCTGTCTGTTCTTTTCTGATGAAGGCTTTGGGTTCGAAGCATGAACCGGGTGCCTGATAGGGTCCAACAAGTTGGGGGTTTGGCTCGTATTGATTTTTCGTTAGGAATTCTTGTGGGTAGTTGGCAAGACCATGAGATGAGTCCATGGCAGTTGCGGAAGTGTTGTAAAACTGTGGGGTAGCCGTAGCATTCACTAGGATGGTAGGCAGTTGCAGAAGTATTGTAAGATTGTGAGGTAGCCGTAACATTTACTAGGATGGTAGGCAGTTGCAAAGTGTTGTAAGACTGCAGGGTAGGCGTAGCATTCACTAGGATGGTAGGCAGTTGTAGAAGTGTTGTAAGACTACGAGGTAGCCATATCATTCCCTAGGATGGTAGGCAGTTGTGGAAGTGTTGTAAGACTGTTGGGTAGCCGTGCATTCACTAGGATGACAGGCAGTTATGGAAGTGTAGTAAGACTGCGGGGTATCCATAGCATTCACTATGTTGGTAGGCAGTTGAAAAACTGTTGTAAGACTACGGGGTAACCGTAGCATTTAGTAGGTTGGTAGGCAATTGTGGAAGTGTTGTAACCCTACGACTTGCCTCATAGCATTCTCTAGGATGAGTTAAACCATCGCAGGAATGGTTGTGAGACTGTGGGTGGGCCACAACATTCATATTATTGGGGTAAATCGTGGGCTGATTGGGGCCAAGTGGAATGTAAGACTACGGCTTGGCCGCAACACTCACTTGAAGTGCAACATAATTGTTGATGTTTCGTGTGTTGGATCGTTAAGTCGTCCTTTTTTTAGATTTGTGGACGGTTATATCCGTGTTGGCAGATATGCTAGGGTAGCCTTTAGCGGTTAGACACTTGGTCGGAGTCTCGTTGTGCGACCATGTGTGAAGTTGTCAGATTCAACAATCAGCCAGGGATTCGGCATCCCAGTTTAATTTTAGGACAACATAGAACCAGGAGATCTCGGGTAGGTCAAATATGCGAATTTTGGTTAGCAATATATGAGGTAGATGTTGGCATGACACCAATAGTTGAGGCTTGTGTTGGGAGTCGCTTTTGTATCCGAGTGCAAGGTTTTCAGCATTAGTGAATGGCCATGGATCCTGTTTACCAGTCATCAGTGAGATAAATCGGGATCAAAGGGGTTTTGATTGGTTCGGGTTGCGGAAGAGAGTCATTATGGATGTGGTTTGAATGATTATGCATGTATGGAAGTCAGGCATGGTATAAGGGTTTCATATTTCAGGAAAAGTAGTTGGATTTTCTCTTTGATTAGTTAAGGGAGGTGTGTTAGGGTTCGTTTCATAGTTAGGACATATGAATTCTGCAAAGATTGATTCAGTAGTTGTATCGGAAGGTCGTCATCTGTGGGAGGTGATTTCTCAGTTTATTTGGATTTAGGAAATTTCAGTCAGGGTCGGCTAGTGTAGTAGAATAAGTTGTAAAGAATGATTTTGAGGAGTAAATATAGTTTAAGTGGGGAAGAGTTGTGACACCCTGTTTCGGGATGTTTCTTAATCCAGGGTTTGTGGGTTGTAATCGATCAAGAAAAGACTTTGGGTTTTGGGGAAGTAAAGTTTAAACCTCATTGAAGGATGAAAATATTGGTCATGAGATCTAAGCTCTTGATTCGTGTGCTGGAACCAAAGGGTAAAATGGGAAAAGTTATATGTTGGGCTTTTTTGCATGGATTATGGTTTTAGTTCGACACGTGTTAAGCCAAAAGTAACAATATAGAATTGTGGGGCTCTTCAATACCTTTCTGTGCATATAAAGAACGCCAAAAACGAAGCTGAAACGAACACGTTATGTCTGTTTGAAGTTAAATTGGAAGTTAGGGGTTTTTCCCTACACAGGGCGTAGATGTTGAATGAGGAATGCGTTTTTATTGATCTACAAATGGCGTAGGTTTTGCTATGCAGGGTGTAGCCAATGCTAACTAAAACCCTAACCTTAAGGTTTTGGGCTCTATTTAAGGGCTCTAACTTCTTGGAACCCTTCCCATTACCAACCTCCATCACCTCATATCGTTCCTTTGAAACCCTAGCCACGAATTGTGAGTTTTGGAAGCATTAGTGTGATTTTTGTGTGCAAACTTGAAGAAGGAGTCCATTGGAGAAGCATGTGTGAGCTCCAAGCTTTGTAGATCTAGACTTTGCACTTCATCATCTATCTCCATAAGGTATAAAGCTTGCATCTTGATGTTCCTTTTGTTAGATCAAATTAGTTCATGGGTTTTAATGCTTTTTTGTCCCATAATCTTGGTCCTTGTGGGTATGGATTAATTCCAGACCATTTAAATGCCTCATTCTGATGTTTTTGAGGATATAGAGTCATAAAAAATGAGAACTTGAGCACCATCATCCATCCATGCATGAGTTCATAAGCAAAAGGTGTTAATATGGACCTAGAGTTTGATTGTGTGTTCTTCTTAGCCATGCAAAGGGATAAAGCGAGAGACTTTATTTATTAAGACATTCATTTATATCAGATATGGGAGTTTGTGAGTTCGTCTTGCTGTATTAAGAGCTTAATAGAAGTTTTTGGGATCAGGGGCTCTACGCAGTGCATAGCCTAGGTATGCATGTCGTAGCTCTACACTAAGTGAATATTAGCTACGATGGGCGTAAATCAAATGTGGGTTGACCGTTGGGTTTTTTGACCGGTTTGACTTTTGGTCAACCATGCTGGGACTTAGTATGGGAAGGGCAAAATGGCCTTTTGCCGAAAGGAGGTTTAACTGTGAGCCTAGAACTTTTGTGGGCTAGTCATTTCCTTGATTGTTAATTAGGGTTTTATTGTGGTTATGTTTAGCAAGGGGAGGCTTCATATCGTTGGCTTGAGTGGGTGGTTTACGTTATCTTCAGGGTTGAGGTGAGTCTTCTCATTATACTCGTAGGTCGAAGGCACCAATGTTGGCCCACTGGATTATGTTATGTAGGATGCTAGTTGTTTTTGTGATACTTGCATAGAAGACCCTGGGGGTAGCCCGTGGCATTTGTATGAAAGACCATGGGGGTAGCCCATGACATTTATGTGTAAGACCATGGGGGTGTGTAAGACCTTGGGGTAGTCAAAGCACTGCAAGTGAAGACCATTAGGGCAACCCATGACATGGGTATTAAAGGCCATGGGGTAGCCCATGGCACTTGTATGCAAGACCATATTGGTATCCCATGGCAATGTATGTATGGTATGTGGTATTTTGGGGAATTCACTAAGCTTTGTGCTTACGGTTTTCCAGGTACTTCTAGTTTCAAAA